GTTCGGAGCAGCTAGACACAGTTGCTGGCGAAAGACCAGAGAAAAAGGATAGGAGAAAAGAGGACGAGCTGGAATAGAGACCATATGTCGATCCCGCACCGGAAAACGCAACGTCTCAAAAACGGTGATAGTCCTCGCTGATGACGGGCACCGCACAATGGTCAGTCACTGCTGGCAACGAGCCACCGGAGTGATACAACCTTAAAGACAGTCCCCACGCTCGAGCAACTCGTAGGCGTCCTTCCTTGTACGAGTAGTCTGGCCCACAGTCTCCAAGATTATGGAACAAAGGTGTCAAGGCCCTCAATAGTGGCAGCTCTGACGCCTTAGTTCTCCCACCCGCCGGCTCAAAGACTATTCTCCGTCACAAGTTTCGCACCACGTTTCCCGCTTTTTTTTTCGTTGTTAGTGGTCTCAATATTGGATGACGCGGGGAAACGATCATTGAGTTAGAGATGTCAGGATACCAGAATGGCATAAAACGAGCAGATCCGTCCAGAGAGCGGGACACGCCATCGTTGTGGAATGTCCGTCGAGCGGTGGGGGGGGGTCGTTGAAATACTACCCCTCCCCGCTCGACGGAAAATTCTTGGCTGAAAAACTGGAAATTTTTTGGGAAAAAATGGAAAAAGTGGTAGGAAGTTGGGAAAATCTAGGAAAGTGGTAGGTAGCATGGGGAGGGGGGTCGTATTTGAGGATGGAATTAGGGGGTCGTATTTTTCAGGAAATGATCACAACGCGATGGCGTGCCTGCCAGAGAGGCTACCACGTCTTTCCTTGGGGTGTTCGCCCTTTTTCTGCGTTTTTTTTTCCTGGACAGTTATATAGCGACTACAGGTTTGTACTTGAGCGCTAATATCCACAATTTACAATTGCGCGGTTTGTATGTAAGCTTTTCTCACAGTGGATCACATAAACACAAGAATTCCTTCGAATTTCATGAGTGCAAACTAGGCCCAAACAGCTAACTTTTGAGAAAGCCGTCTCTGTAGATTTAAATTTTTGTTCTTTTCAACAATGCGATTCCAAACTGCGGACGGAGAAGGGACTGTCTTGACAGTTTGACACCAGATCCGAGGGCGCGCTCAGATA